ACATATACGTATCTCAAAACTTTCAATATCATGATCAAAATACAAATTCAATCGCAAAAACAACAGAATAACAACAATATCACAAACAAAATCAAAATCACAAACTCAAACTAAAAAACACCTAAACATCAAAATTAAAATCAAAATCAAACATACCAGTCGAGCTCCCTCCACAAAATCGCAAATCACAAAATCTAACTATACACCAAACGCGAAATCACAAAATATGAAGATTCACAGATTTATAAAAAGCAATCACAAATCGAGCTCCTTCCATGAGATCGCAAATTGCAAAATCTAAATATACACCAAGCGCGAAATCACAAATCACGAAGCTCCACAATAATGCATTAACAAATCGCAAAGTTCCACAGAAATCCAAATCATAAACCCAAACTCAAACCCAAACTCACATCACAGTATTTTGATGGCAAAAATCAAATAGAAACGCGCCAAAACAGGGGAAAACAAAATAGGGATAAAACATGTACAAAAAAAAGTCTCCAGGATCTATTGGTGCACAACATCAATATTCAAGACTAAGAAGGGAATAACTATAAAAAGTAGGACCGGCCAGTAAAAAACCCTTGAGTATTCTGTATGGGCCTACCTATATATACCCAATTTCTTCTTGGGTCTTATCTTAAAATGGTTGATGTGAACTAGGTGGGGAGTCTCAGATCAAAAAAAGAACTAGGTGGGGAGTCGAGATTGGGCCCAATATAAAAACTACTATTGAGTTGTGTTTGGTTCTAACCTAATAGTAGGCCCAAGGCGACTTCTAGTAGGGGTATGCCGTCTAATGCCTTCATATGTAGCTATGGAGTGAGTGATTATTCCATGTCCTATGATCACTACTATTTTTTCATCTCATCCATTCCTGACATTAGGGATGGCAATTTAAACCCGGCCTGACGGGACCCGACCCTCGATCCCCGATAAGAGTGGTTTTTCCTTGAAAAATACCCCCGACGGGATGGGGATGGTATTTGAAATTGAATCCCTGATTAGTTTCGGGCAGGGGACGGGGATAACTTTCACAGCCCCGGCCTCGTTTTTTCCTGAAATGAAATTACCATAATACCCCTCAATTTATTCATATATATAAGCCCCCCTTTGTTATTCATATTTGAGGAGTATTGAACCCAAGAGGCTCTAATTTGGTTCTCTCTCACTCACTGACTCTCTCTCTCTCTCTCTCTCTCTCTCTCTTCTCTACGCATGCAATCGGCGATGGCAGTCTCTCACTCTCTTTCTTCTCTACGCATGCAGTCGGCGATGCCGTCGTCTCTCCTGCTCATCGCCTCCTCCTCCTCTTCCGTCGCCTCTCACCGCCTCCATCTCCCCCTCCTCCGTCGCTTCCTCCTCCTCTAGGCCATCGCCAAACCGTCGCCTCTCGCCTCCTCCTCCCTCCATCATGGCAAATCTGAACAGATCCTCCCTCCACCACTCAGATCTGAGCAAATCCTCCCTCCGCCACTCAGATCCTCCCTCTCGCCTCCTCCTCCCTCCGCCACCGTCTGTCTGTCTCTATTTTTTTCTTTTAATTTTTTTAAAATTTTTGTTTTATGATGTTGCCGTTGATGATGTTGTTGATGAAAATGATGTTGTTGTTGTTGATTCCATATACAGATTATTATTATTATTATTATTTTGGTTAAACAGATCTGTGTGTGTGTGCGTTGTGAACAGGTCTCTATGTGTGGGTGTTGTGAATAGGTCTGTCAAGGATTTTTCGGGGTCGGGGAAACTCGATCCCCGTTAGGGGGCGGGAGTGGGGGAGATGATGCCTTCCTCGTCGAGGATCGGGGTCGGGGACGGGGACTTTTTAATCTTCGGGGATCGAGGACGAGGAGAGTCATCCCCGGCCCCGCCCCAGCCGGTTGCCATTCCTACCTGACATGTAGTGACAACTTTTTTTTTTCATTACTACTCTTTTTATTTGATTCATATATAATAATACAGTGAAACTCTATAAAGAGTTGAGTTAATTTGTTATTAAAATGAAAAGAATTGAATTTGTCTACACTTTATATATGTATTAGAGCGTGTTGTTCAAATTTGTGGGATTAATTACCAAAAGAACATGCATAAAATTATGCCTTTCTTTTTTTATAGTGATTTAATAATTATAAGAAGAAGAAAGAAAGGGAGGGTTAGATTAGAGTCATTTGAGACATGTCTGTGGATGCTATTTCTACACTTTTAGTTCGTTTGTTTGTTTGTGTATTATATAGTTATATTACTTAATTGGAGATAAATCCATTAAATTACGTAAAAACTATTGTTGATTTTGTTATTTTTGTAAAGTAAAGAACAAAATAGTATTTTCACTTTCAATTCTATGAGATTAGATTTTAATGTCACCTCGCTTGTGATTCACTTTGTTTGGTTAGAGTTTTTCAAAAATAATTTTTAGAAAATTTTTATTTTTTTGTTTTCCATATTTTTTTGTTTTTACTGAATTTTTTTAATATTTTAAGCATTTTTTTTTAATTTTTGGACATACTTAACATAAATATACCTAAAAAGTAAAAAATTTGTGAAAAAAACCTTTTAAAAATTCATTAAATACAAAAAATATATAAAATAAAAAAAAAAGATAACTCAGTACATTTTTTTGTATTTTATGTATTTATTAATTTTTTAAAATATTTTTTCACAAATTTTTTACTTTTTAGATACATCTAAGTAAGATGCATCTAAAAAGTAAAAAAAACATTTAAAATTTTAAAAATATTCACTAAAAACAAAAAAATATGAAAACCAAAAAACTCAATTTTTAAATTTTTTTTTAAAAACTCAAATCAAACACAATTAATTTCATCATTGGAGAGATTTCATAATCCCATAAAACTTTTAATCCCATAATAATTTTCAAAACAAATATAATTTTGTGAGCCTACCTCACCACTAATCCAATTTCCTTCATCTCTCCGAACAAACATGACGCTAAAGAAAGAATAGTCTACACTCTTGGGGAGCAAGGCTTGACGAAAAATCTCAGTTTGAGATAGGAGAGTGAGAGTGAAGACGACAAAATTGACCAATCTGTTCTTACGACTTGATCCACAAGAAAGAAAATACATCACGTTATTCATTACCCACTTTATTCAATTATTATTATTTTTTAGAACCTATTCAATTATTATTATTAATCACAAGAAACAAAAACCATCACAATCAAGATCGAGAGACACCATACTCTGGTGCATTAAATTAAGGTCAAATTTATTTATCAAAAAAAATTATGACTGCACAATTCTCAATCTTAATTTTTTTTTACACACTAATTTATATAATTTTTTAATACATATTTTTCATAAAAAGTCAAAAAGTTAACTCAACAAATCATATTTTTTTCATCAACTTTTTAGTCCAAAAAGTCAAAAAGTACATTTATTTAGGACATCCCAAACAACCCCTAAGACATGGTTTGAGAATTAATTATTTTAATTAATTTTTTTAATTTTTTATTGAATATTATTAAAAAAAAATTATTAAATAATATAAAAAAATGATGTGATTGAATATTTTATTTTTTTATTATTTTAGTCAAAAAAAATTAAACCCCAAAGAAGACATAAGAGTCTTTTTATAGTAATACAAAAATTAACATCTTATACCACTACAAACACTTTAACATACTAATTTAAAAAATTGGATATTTATCA